CTTATCCGCATACTCCAAAATATTGCTCACAACGTAGTCAGAAATCGTGTTCCCCTTGCCCGCTGCAATCCTCAAGATCAGCTCGTTCAAATGCTGCCGCCCGAGGATGTCTACGTGGTCTGCCGTCTTGGGTCCACCTCTGGGATTGAAACGTTCTGGCTCGTGTTCCATCTCTACCACAGTGACCTTGGACCCGGCCGGATTATATCGCTTGTAGTTCCAGCCACGATTGCACATGTAACCCGTACTGATCAAGTTGACAGTACCGTCTCCCTCGCCCATGACAACGCCGTGGTCGACTTGGCCTTGGGTGAAAGCTGTGTCGATGGTGATGTTCAGATTCGTAAGAGACGGCATCTCTGGAGACCGGTAATAGTATCCTCGTTCAGTGGCCTTGCCAACACCATAGAAACAGTAAATCTTCATGCTCGGCGCCAGCGGAAGCCGCGTTTCCAAGGGGTTGATCCACTTGCGGGGGTCCTTCTCGTTCGCCTCGACTTCCGCCTCTGTGTGCGCGATTCCGTGCGAGTAACTTGTCTTGATGTGTTTTTGGTACCACTCCTCCGTTGTGTTGTAGAGGTATTCCATGGCCGATTCGACCGTCAAATTACGGTCGGGTGTGGTCCAGTTCATGCCGCTGCGGAAGTTGAGCAGTGACCCGAAGGAGAAGTCCTGCCCGGGCTGATCATCGGGAGCCCAGGTGGAATTACCCCATACCGCATCCCCTCCGATGGGAAGCATGGAAGATATTCCGGGCATGGCACGGAACAGTTGCGCCCGCTCGTCTTTGCTCAGAAATTTTTCGAGGCCATAGACAGCAAACGCATTGAGCTGCGCCGTATCTCGCATCTCGCCAGAAAGTACTGCCGTCAAATCCTTGACAGCGCCAAGCATGCAGCCACTAACATTAATCCACGCCTCGACGTGCCTCTCGACCCAGTCATCGCCACCGCGGCCACCGGTCTCGGATGCGACCCAGTGGAAGAAGTAAAAGAGAACTTGTCCGCCCATGCTGTGCGACACGAGAACCGCCTTTTTCCCCGAGAATTCGTGAGCGGTTTCGATGTAGGACTTGAGCCTCGTAAAATACTGGTCCCGCGTCTCGAGGTTCGGATATGCCAGCCGCCAATCGTAAGCGGCGGTAAAGGAATTAGTTGGGTCGTAGCCTATGGACGCAAGATTTTCGAAAATCTTGTTCCAAATCCAATATCCCGTAATGAAGAAATCGGTTGCATCGAAGCCTTGGGCAGCCCGTAACTTGATATGCGGGGGATCGAGGCCTGTTTCTTGATCCAACATGAGGTGTCTCTTCCAATTCTCCTTGTCCAAAACCAAGGCACGCATCATGCTCCAGCTGCCCCAGAGGCGCTTGCGGAAGTAGGGGCGTGAAACATTGGTGGTGCCCCACGATTCGAGACCTGTTGAAATAACGCCCGGGACCATAATCATGGGGTGGTGTGCGTGAAGGCCTTCGGCGCGGGCCTGCAAACCTACTGAGAAAGCGTCGTAGCTATCAACGAACTCGCGCTCGCCTTGCTTTACGAGGAGCCGCATTAGTTCAGTTCAGCTGGCCTAAACTCCTTTCGAGTCTGTGAAAGAAGCGTTACTGACCACTAGATCGCGCATGTCCTTGACTAAACCGGCGGGTAAGACGTCGAATAGGCTGTCCATGCTGAGCTCGCCCAGCTCAGGGAAGTCGATGAGGTCATTGCTTTTGGCAAAAAAGCCGGCAGCTATAATGCCGAACAAGCTTCCGAGCAGGAAAATGGCGGTGTTGCGGCGCTTTCTCGTCTTGGGCTTCAAGTGTTGGACGACGTGAACGTGTTTCTCGGACTTGTCAGGACTCTCATCTCGGGGTGTAGAGGACTCGCTCTCGGTCTGAGGATCGGCGAGAACGGCACGCCGCCTGAGAGTAGACGCAGACATGGTCACGATCGCAATCGCCTGCGACTGACCTGAGAAATCTAACGACCGTAGTGTCAGCTTGCGCCTTTGAGAGGTTTGAAGCGAGAGATGGTGTAGAGCAGCGCAGAAGGAGGAGTTGGGGTGCCTGACGTGTGGCCTGGGATGTAGGGCGCCAGCGTGCTCGAAAGAGAAGGGTTCAATACTTATTCGTCACGGAACGCGGTGCTCGTGATGCCTAAGCGGCAGGTCAGGACTCAACGAGACAGGCGGACCGTCGGGGTAATGGGGTGGAAGGCACAGAGCGTGGCCGAGAGTTGAAAGCTTATTCTGCGCAAGCCACGCACCTGGGTTATCGGACAGGTTGAGTGGGACGAGGAGGGTCGCTGGTAGTCCCGACGCTAAGGGGAACACTTCAGAGCAAGCCGTCCAATGGAGGTGTAGTAAAAATGTCCAGAGCTTCAAAGCGGTATAGGTAGCCACGGCCACGGCTACATGCCCAGTAGGGAGGTCTGAGGGCACAGAGCAGCAGGCTAGTAAGCCGTCGATAGCTATGAACGTGACGTCAATCCGGGCGGGCCACATGGCTGCCAGTGGCCTGGGCGTTATGTTTTCATCAGGTGCATAAAATGCGGCACTCGAAAGCCAGGTCTAAGATTCTCAGTCCGTTTCCTCTCAGAGGCCCTACCAAGCATCCCTTAGGTGCCTATGTACCTAATAGATACCTTCCATTGCCAAAGGTCAGATGAGAGCTCTCGCGTTTGAATGGTTTTATTTCGAGGACTCCTTGCGGCACGCATGTATCGGCCGTTTTCTCCAATGGAACATAGACAAGACTACTCGCCACTCTACACATTTTCTTGCAGTACAATGATGGTCGGTAGATCACCTTTCTTGACAAGAGCGTGACAACAGGGTGCACAAGACCCCAAAAATGATAGGATCGCACTTCAGCTGGCCGGCAACGAGAGCAATTTTCCTCTTTCGTCTCATTGGTCAGAGGCAACAGGGTAATTGTTTAATTAAAAAAAAAGAAAAAAAAAAAAAAAANAAAAAAAAAAAAAAAAAGAAAGAAACACCTCCAAATAAAACCAACAAGCTCGCTAAAGCTGCGCAAGAAAGGCCTTACGACTAACTGCTGGCAGCAGCCTCCGAAGCTTCAGAAAGCAGTTCGTTTGCAAATGCGCTACTGCTCGTTTAGCATGTGATAGTGGTCCCGACTTCACGCAACATGTTGCAGGCTGGGTGCATTGCATGAAAAGCACCTAAACACCCACGGAAGAGAGGGCTGACAGACTGGATTAAATATTACGGTAGGCACAACTAGTTCAAGGTTACCTATCGTTCTTACCCTATCTAGGGAAGTAGGTAGGTTATCACTCGAGGCACTTCAGCCTCCAGAGCTCCACCAAGTTGGGTGCACGGGGCATCCAGGCCTCGACTGCGCCGCTGTCCCTAGGATGGAGTTGTCACCCGCTCTACTTAGCCTCCGCAACGGGCTGGAGTCGCGTCGCCTTACCTTACCCTGCCTGGCTGACCTCAACTCTGCACTTCAAGACAACGCCCGACGTAGTCTCACCTATCCTCCCACGCCGCCAGTCAGCTCAAATCAAGTCAACCTGCAAACGCACAATTCGCGACCGTGTCGTGCGAATCGGCCGCTTTATCCTCTTCATTCCTCGCGCGCGGCAGTGCCGCTTCTTTTTCCGTAATCGCAGCATTAATCCGAAACGGTTTCGCTGTCGTTTTCAGTCTCTACCTCATCGTCTTGTCATGAGTTGAGCATCTCTGCGCATTTGCTGGTCCGAGTTCGACCCTCGAAATCTTCCGTCCTCATTTCTTCCACCCCATTATTCATCAACGCTCCCATCTCCCCCAGAGACTGCCCGATAGATGCACCATGGATGCTTCCAAAATCAGCATCCCCCCGGGAGACTTGCATTATATACAGTATGAACATGGTCTGGAAGCGAAGTACCTACCCGCCATACGTTCTCTGATAGCAAAGGATTTGAGCGAACCGTACAGCATCTATGTCTATCGGTATTTCCTCTACCAATGGGGGCACTTGTGCTTCATGGTCCGCATCTGTCTTGACAAATAAGCTTCTCCTCCGATTAGAACTAATTGCTGCCTAGGCTCTGAATCCAGTCGACTCATCCCTCATCGGCGTCATTGTCTGCAAGTTAGAGCTTCACTCATCTCACTCACCACCGACGCGCCGAGGTTACATTGCCATGCTCGCTGTCGCTTCGCCGTTCCGAGGCAAAGGCATCGCCACTGCCCTGGTGAAACGTGCCATTGATGCCATGGCCGAGCGTAATGCCGATGAGATTGTTCTGGAAACAGAGGAGACAAATACCCAGGCCATGCGTCTATACGAGCGTCTGGGCTTCTTGCGCTCAAAGAAATTGCACAGATACTATCTCAACGGCAACAGCGCATACCGTTTGGTCCTTCTTCTCAAGTCCATTGACCCTGACGCCGTTATCGAGGACTTTGACAACCATTATTCTTGATTGGGAGGAACGGACTCCGGCTCGCGACGACTGGTTGCCACGTTTTGAAATGTTATCAAGACAAATATACATGGCTCGCGCACACGTTACAGCCAGCTTCAGCTGCTGCTTGAGTTGCGGTGACGATTTCTTCTTTCCCTTAGCATGGGGGGCATCCATTGGTTAGATGGACAGCCACAGCATAGAGCGACGTTGGTCGGACATGGATGGATACTGGTGGCGAAGGTTCGGGGTAGACCATGACAGGCGGCACAGCGGTGGCTTGGAAACGAAAGCATGCATTTGTTCGCAACGTGCGGTGGTAGCATTCACAATGCAACGAGGGTATGGCTGTATTCAAATGGTTCTGGTGTGTATGGCAAGACATACGAAGAGCTCCTGCTCACGATATTCATGGCCACGGTTCGAATTGCAAGACGGCCGATTTCAGAATTGTAAACGCAACAAGTAATATACCACGACCGCTCGAGCATAATCCATCATGATTGCCCACAGGTCTTCGCACTTTTCTCAGGAACGCTCTGTGTGGTCTTCGAAGATTGCGCAAGGTCGATCTGTTCATTATTCTCCCCATTTAGACTATTGCTTGGGCATGATATCTAGAGAACTGTGAATGGATGCTTTGATATCCCACTGGTTCCCGTGGGCAACCCCAATGTATGTAAAGGCGTCTACGACATGTCAGCACCGCATCACTGGAAGAGAATGGGTAATTGATGCGACAAACCCGGCTTATAATAGATAGGCCGTCCCATCGCCTCCACCACTTTCAGCTCCCGGAGCCGACGCAACACCCTCATCACGTCTGTGACATCGTTGAAATCGGCAGTGTAAACAGCAATCATTCGATCTTTGCGGCCGGTTGCGTCTTGTCTTGGTGCCACTTTAGCAGCGATGCCAAGCTCGTTGTTTGCCGTGGCCCTGGCAATGATCGCCCATACCTCATTCACGTCTCGAGGCGAACAAAAAAGAAGCCACTGTTCATTGAAGCTGTTCGTCAGCAGTTTTATCTGATGAAACGGGAAAGCACAGGTTGCTTACCTTCCCAGACCTAACTTTGCACGCATGCGCGAGAGATAGGACGTCCTTGACTGCCTGCTTCTTCTCGTGGTTGATCTCTAACAGCTTTGCTGTCGCAGACTTTTTCGTCCTGTGGATGCCGTCAACAAAGCTGCGCAGAATGCGCAACCTCTCGGTGCCTCCTTCAACTAAGGTGTTGAGCTGTGATCCATCCTCTTCTGGAGCTTCATCCTCATTGCCTTTGCTGAACTGGTTTTGTGCGAGAAACCTGTTCTTCCGAGGAATGAACGGGTTACAGATGAAAATCCAGGGAACCTCGGCAGTGCCCTCAGTTGTCTCGGGAGGAAGGCGATTGAGGAAATCACTGACGGTCTCGGTTAGTTGCCACGCATACGGTACACCTACGTATGGGTTATGCAGCTTGGTGCTGTCCGTTGGCTCCGCCTTGGCTCTCCGGTTGAGTTGGACCGCCCTCGTCTCCTCCCACCATTGGGCGACATTGAATGAATTGACGCGGGCCTCTAGCCCTTCAATAACATCCTCGTCTCCTGGCAAACAGTCAGTCCAGAGCAGGCATTAACGGGTTCTCGGCACAAACCGTAAAAGTCCGACTCCTCCGAGTCCATCGCTGCTTCGCAGGCGAGGGCTTCGAAGCAAAGTACGAAACGGCAGTATTTCGACAAAGGGTCTGGAGGGCAAAGAGTTGTATGGCAGTGGCCGTTTTATGGCGAATACTCAGGCGAGGCGAGGGAGGGATGTGCTTCTAAGGGCGAATCGGCGGTTTCTCAAATGCGGTGACCATTCATGTACCTCAAGGTAACCCAATGCTCTAACCTAATGCTGTCACAGAGAATTGGAAGCAATGGAAGGGGTGGGCGAAGGTAGGATAAGACTGTGAAATGTTCTCCAGAAAGGGAGGCTGGTCTGATACCACCATTTCTGGAAGGGTTGGAGCAGCCGATCCGACTACGCGGCGCCAATTCCGGCAGGCAACCTGTGGACGAAAAGCGGGATCCTTCCGAATTTCCCGGAACGCAACGACCGGCGGCCGGGAGTGGCCATGGGTAGGCGGATCGGGTACCTACCTAGGTAGGTACCTTACCTTACCTTAGGTTATTACTTACCTATGGACCTACCTAGGTGGGATTAGGCTCTCTCGCCTCCTAGGTGCTTTTTGACCACGGCGAATCTTCACACAAAATCTGCAAATTACTCCTGGCCACAGAGCAAGCAAACCACGAGCTGATGGTCTTTGGCCTTTCTTTTTCTTCCCCCCCTCTCCTTTCTTTTTCTAACCTCGTCCTCGTTCCTTCCCTTGCTTTTCTTCCCTATACCCACAAAAAACCAGGGAACCATACCTGACAGAGTGTGAGAAAGAAGAATAAGAAAATGGCCCATAGCGTTGTGTCAACGCAAACTCTCACATTGGACCTCCCTCCAAGCTGCATAGAATGGTGCCCCTCGCACCCGACATACCTTGTTGTCGGCACGTACAACCTCATCAAGGACGGGCCAGGCTATACAGAGTCGGAAGACAACGAGGCCTTGACCGGAAAGAAACCGCAAAATCGCAGTGGCAGTCTCATCATCTTTCGACTTGACAACGGAGCCGTGTAAGTCATTCAGAAACACGCAGCCACGCCACTTATCTGACCCTTCTAGGCATTACGTCCAAACTATCTCCCATCCTTCGGCAATCTTGGACCTCCACTTCTGCCCCCTGTCTGGTGCGCAGGATATCCTGGCTGTCGTCTCCAGCACCGGTACGCTGTCTATCTTTCGTTTGGATCCAGGCACAGATGCATCTGAGCCGCTGAAGCACCTGGCGACAAGCACGATCGCCAACACTCCTGAAGGGGTTCTCTTCCTTTCGGGTGTATGGAGTCCCCATAATCCTTCATTGATTGCTCTCACAACATCCGCGGGCGAGGTGCGAGTCTTACGTCTCGATGATTCATGGCAAATCATCGAGGGAAGTGTCACGACTGTCATGACACACTCTTTGGAGGCCTGGACGGTGGCATTTTGCCCGCCAGAGCCAAATGAAAGCCAGCTTGGTGTTGCAGGCGGTGATGCCCAGAGCGACCCTTTCATCGTGTACTCGGGTGGGGACGACTCTGCTTTGCGATATGCTTCATGCGCGGACAAAAAGTCTGGGGGGGAAGACTCAGATGTGGCGGTGAGCCTCCAATATCCTCCTCTTAACATCAGCGGCCATGGCGCCGGGGTGACAGCCATTCTTCCAATTCCGATGCGTTTAGCAGACGGCGCGAGAATTGTGGTCACGGGAAGCTATGATGATTCGATGCGAATTCTTGCTATACAACCTCCACACGAGACGTATGGCCTTCGCAAGTTTCAGCATCTGGGCGAGAAGAACCTAGGAGGTGGCGTCTGGAGGCTGAAATTGATTGATATCCGAGAGGATGCTGGACATTGTTGCGCCAGGATCCTAGCCTCTTGTATGCACGCCGGTGCAAAGGTTGTAGAGCTCAAGGGGCCTCTGCACGGCGGGGACTGGGAGATTGGGGTTCTCGCAAGATTTGATGAGCACCAGAGCATGAACTATGGCAGTGACTGCGGTCCAGTCTCTGGGGACGGGCGTTTGATTTGTGTGTCGACGAGCTTCTACGATAAGAGATTGTGCTTGTGGGAGACGGCCTTGCCTTGATATGCCTAAACTGGCAAAGCGGACTTGGTAGAGGTAGTTCTGAAGAGAGAAGCGCGACAGGTCAACGCTCACGCGATGCAGCAGGCTTTGGGCCGAACGTCTCCACTGCAATGCCGATGTGCGTATCTTACCTTACCTTATGTAATCCATGGAAGAAGCTGCCTACCTACCTACCCACCATACCTTACCTATCACCTAAGGTACCTAAGTAGGTAGGCACCACGTAGTGCACACGGTTCGCATTGGTGCCCCGGCCCGAGAACACGACCGCTAAGTGACGGATGGTAGGTACACTACCTAGGTACCTGAGGTGCTCTGCGTTGCACTGCTGCTCTGGCTTGGTTTTTGATGATGCAAAGCACGTTCGCTGTTGCTACTGCATCTACTCCATATTCTTGCAACTTCCGGTATTCCTGCCTCGCCAATCGACACGATTGTCCGCGCTTGTTTCCACTGGCAGAGGTATATACTGCTTCTCTCTTTTCCGTCTAACCTGATTTGCTGTCACATTCGCTCGACGCTGTCTCTCCCATCAAGCGCCTATCCACGGAGTGAGCAAAAGTTGGGCGCAGCTGGTATTGAGGAACGCGGAGAACAAAACTAGTCTGCCCGGGTGCCTTGAAGACGCCCTTATCTGCCCAAGGTAAGTTACACTCACTCGCGCTGCAAGGCTCATGCCTTGGTTCTGTGTCCGCGCCTTGTCCACGCCGCCCGGCCCTTTTAACACCACTCTCAACCTTCGCTAACTGCCGCTCTTCGCGTCTTGGGCAGCATTCTCACCGAAACCTGCATTCCCTCTATATCGCATTCTCCCGCCACTTCCTCGTCCTCCACCTTCCGGGTCTGGCCTGAACAACATCCGCCGTATGAACCAAGACCGAGTCATCTGCTGAAGAAGCAGCTTCTGCAGGCGTCTGCCTACCCTACTGTCGACCACTCCAGCTGTCATGGACGGACAGGCCGCCAATGGCGCGGCCGGCTTGGCGCAGAATACCACCTCCATGAACGGCGCGAATTCCGACATAATATCACAGATCCACCAGGCCCTCGAGGCTATACACAACCCTTACTCGTCCAATGACTCCCGTCGAGACGCGCAGGTCTTCCTCGAAAATATTAAAGGCATAGACGAAGCTCCATTCCACGGTTTTACCCTTGCCTCCGACAAGTCCCAGTCACCCGTTGTGCGCCATTATGCCCTTTCCCTTCTTGAGCATGCGATCAAGCACAGATGGGCCGATTATAGCGAGCACCAGTCTTCTACCCTCCGTGGTTGGATGCTGGAGCTCTGTCGCAGCCTGTCGAAGGACGATCCCCTATACATCAGAAATAAGACGGCTCAATTATGGGTTGAAGTTGGCAAGAGATCATGGGGCGCCGAGTGGATGGACATGGATGAGCTTTTGCTTCGCTTATGGCAAATTCCTGATTCTGCTGTTCACAAAGAGCTCGTTCTGTTCGTCTTGGAGACACTCTCCGACGAAGTCTTCAATGGCGACGATGCCGTGGTCGCCATGCGCGAAGGAGTGCTCAGCAGGAGCTGTGTCGAGATTTTTACTCCAGCCACAGTCCTCAGAGAGGCTTTCCCGAACAGGACTGCTGGCCCCGAGGTGCGATATGGGGAAGAAGGTTGGCTAAGCCGGGTATCCGAATTTCTCAGTCAGTGCCTTCAAGGGGATGCTCAGAACAACGACCAAGTTCGGTCTTGTGCTGTCAAATCCTTGTCCGTTTTCCACTCTCTGATGCCCTGGGCCATACCCAAGGCTGTTGCCGTGGCCAATTGCGTGCCTGTCATGTGCAGAGCCCTTGCGACACCCGAAGTGTCTATTCAGAAGGTACTTGAACGCTGCATGATTACGCACACTCGAGGGGAAGAGAACATGGGACAGCTAACCGGCAATAGGCATCTCTGGAGGCCTTACATGCACTTTACTCCCGTTCAAACTTCACCGAACAAGAGTTCAAGGAACTCGTTGCGCCCATGTATGATGCCAGCTCAGTAGACCTCTTGAAGCGGCTCTTCGAGTGGTCGGCCGTTGATGTAGACGACATTGACGAGGACAAGTACCAATTCGGTAAAAAGTTTTCCGAGGCAAGTCGTTGTTTGAGACGATTAGATTACATTTATTGATCTGGTGTAGATGCTGTCCCTCTTGGGCAACTATCTCGACCGAAGATTTTCCGCGATTCCGACAACTTCGGACGTAAACGGGTTCCTCAATTTGCTGCTTCTAACGGTGCAAAGCCCAAGTCTGATCATCGCCATACCCGTGTTAGCTACGTGGACGCGGCTACTCAACAACAGACTCATCGGACAGAGCCCAGCCAATACTCATCTCGTTGGGCCACTGCTCGAGGTCTGTGGTTCCCGCCTAATCCGTTTTGAGAACCTGCCGGAAGACACTCAAGACCCAACCTTCCTCTTCCTGATGGAAGATACTGATACCGTCCCGGAACGACATGCTTTTCTCGGCAATTACAGAAGGTTCAGCACACAGGTCATTGAAACAATTGTACAACTGAAGCTTTCCGACGCGGTTTACCATATTCTTGGCCAAGCCGAGCAAGTCTTGCAGCATCTATATGACGGTCACCCACCGATGGACGGTACGTTAATAGATGTATCTGAACCACTTTGACGGATATGGGACGGCTAATTTTTGTAGTGTCCAAGTACATTAAGCATTCAATGCCTGTTCTGCGCGTTGATGCACAATTCACAGTCATCGAGGCGGCGCTGAAAGGCTACATGAAGTGGAGAGCAAGCGCTACTCAACAGAGCATGCCAGACTACGTGAGTAAATAGTGACGGGAAAGACGACACCCAGCTTATAGATGACAGGAACAACAGCGCGCTGCTCTGGAGAGAGATCTGGAGTCCTGGTGCAGCAAACTCCTTGAAATGAACTTTGAGGACCCTCTGATTCGGAAGAGAGTGCTACAATTGCTGGTTGCTTTCTCTACCACAGCTCTCGACAGGAATCCAGGATTCATGCTCAAAGTCCTTGAACACATTCTCATGACATGGCCAGCTCCTCGCCCAGAGCACCGGGCCTTTAACGAGGCGATCAAGGATTTCCAGTCCGAAAGCATGGTTGAGCTGCAGCGACTAGCCTCAAAGGTCCCTGACCACCTGCTAGGTGTATATGATCAGATAGAGGCAAAGGTTAACGACATGATTTCCTCGGGAAGCTTGGACGAGAAACGACAAATTGCTTACCAGAGCTTTCTCTTCATCATCATTCACCGAGCCACCAATATTGACCCTTCAACACAATTTGAGCGTTTGCATGGATTCATCAAGCCAGTCACAAGCCTATGGCAAAACCACGAATTGAAAAGCGCTCTGTCATCGTACTCGGGCTTTTGCGAATTGATGGCCCTGGACAAAGCCAAGCGATACCTCATGAGCCATCGCGTCCATGAAGTCAAGGATTGGGGCTCTAGCGAGCTGGATGCAGAGGGTCTGGCCCTCCAGAGTGAGTTAGAGGAGAGACAAAAGGTAAAGATAAAGGTGCCTGTTTGACGTATTATTGACTGACCTGACGACAGGTGTTGCCTCTTCGCCCGACAAAATCATTTCTTTCTTTTTCCGTGGAGAAGCTCGACAAGTCTTCAGCGCCCTTCCAAATCTCGTATCGCTTGTGGAACGATAGCTTTCCAATCATCTTACCCGACCTTCTGCAATTTCTTAGGTGAGATTTCCAGTCATCCCTCAAGCTCAGCCCACTGACCAAGCCTGCAGCCACGCCCACGCCTCGCACAATCCAGATAATTGGACAGAACTGCCCCCTGAAATGCGGTCCGTTGTTGGCGGCGTTCTCAGTGATCGTTTTTGGCAGGCGGGAATTTCTGAGGGCAGCAAAGATGAATTCTATGCCCGCGTCATGGACAAGAAACACACTCTCGAAGGGCTCGCTTCGACGATAAGAGGGAGCGTCAGATTCATACGAGAAACATGCTATGCCATTATCTACTGCATGAGCCGTTTGGAGATGCAGTTCTATGGCTTCAGCGAACTGCCGAACCCCCTTGCACAAGCGCTTTTCCAAAATTCTTTCTATCTCTCTGCACATCAGCAGATCAACTTGCTGAATCTCGTGCGTTATCTTGTGGACGATTGCCCACTAGAGCAACGTGAGCACTTCCTTCCCCCACTCCTTGCAGCTTGCTTCCAACAGATGGACGCAAAGATCAACTCGGAGTGGGAGAAGTTGGAGCGCCAACAAGCAATTGACGCTGCTGGGGATGCGCTCACCGAGGAGATGAAATCGGAAAGCATCTTGCGCCAGGTCACTTACACTGCCGTGATCATGGTGGCGGATTTCCTGGATCCCACTAAGAGAAGTAAGTAGTGTCTTCCCACCCCTCATGATTCGCCTCTGTCTGTCCTTTCTTCATTCAGCCATGTGTTCCAGTCTCCTGTAATCTCCTCTGAACCACTTGGTTCACTTTGCTTGAAAGACATCCCCGCTTTGATTTGCCCACGCGTTCCGTACCTCGGCTTGGAGATGCAGTCTAAGGCTTTTCGGCGGTGTTTCTGTATCGCTAACCCGGTATGGAGTACTAACATTGAACTTAGACCCTCCGTTACTAAGATCACAAAATGGTCATGAGCAACCTCGCAGGTATCCATCATTGAGGAAATTTTGCTTGATGCAGTCTACGATTGTGGAGCCGCTCCTTCTCTTCTGCACTCACGCAATCCGGATGAGAGACACGCGATGCTGTAGCATAATTTTACGGGTATTTCGATCTATTGTTCCAGACTTCCATCAGTCGGAACCGGTCTCGCCAAAATCTGTACCTGCGCACGAGGGCCATAACTCCACTGCCGGCGGAAAGGATTCCTCTCTTGACCCGACGCCAATTTCCTCCGAAGCAGCTTCCGCAGTCAGGGAGTACATCTCATCGGAAGTGCTCCAAGCTTGCATCAACTCATTCCATGAGCCCTACTTCGTAGACCTTCAGAAGGACCTGGCCTCATTAATTGCCTCCATAGTGGTTTATTACAGCCCTTCGACTAGCACGCCCAGAGATGTCCTCCTTTCGCTACCCAACATCAAAGTGGCTGATCTCGAGAAGCTGAACGATTTCGTGTCGAAGCCAGCTTCCCACACACGCCAGCAACGAGCACTTGTGCTTGACCTTCTCAAAGACCTCAAGGGAATAAGCATTGCAGAGCAGGGGAAATTGCCCAAGACCAGCAGTTTCGGGCGAGTCAAGAGATCAAATCGCAGCAAGATGGCGCAAGAGTTCATGACACCCGCAAACGAGTCGGCTACACGTAGCGGAGCGGTCACCGGGGCGAGGCAAGGCACGCCAGATGGCCTTGAGGGCGTGGCCAACTTATTCGAAGGCTAGTGAATCCTGCAATGATCTGTTCCTGTCAATTTGCGCTTTCTGCCACGGAAGAGGAAAGGGGTAGGCGAGGCAAGCGGGAAAGACACGCATGTGCTCAGTAAGGAAATTTTGATGGTTGCCCCTGCGTTAGCCGACTGGTTGCGAATCTACAGAGCCGCTTACCGAGAAAGCCTGCACACACAGGTTGGGTCAACGTTGTATAGACATGGTCGAGGTGTAACGCCTGGGAATAGGTGCCTCGGCACTGGATTGGGAAAGTTAAAAGGAAGAAAGGAAAATAAGATACCAACGCTTTTCGAGGCGCACTGACTGATTGTTGTACTGCTCCGGCCACAGGCTCTACCCTCAGTCAAGTGCCTATCTCCAGGGCCGCATACGGACACATCAACATTGCTAGTTTCACTGTCCAGATTTTTATACATGAGCGGTACAGAAGCTGAGCCACCAGCTGAAGTTTCTCACGTTGGATATTATGAGTCGCCCGCTCGCGCGATGTGCTCCATGTTATCAGGCACAGGTGCAAGCGACAGTGACACTGTGCCAGTAGGAACCTGGTTGTGGCAACGTGAGTGAGTATTCAAAATAGTTATACAGAATACCTGGACGTGAACGACAAGTGATCTAATTCGCAAGGGGCAAACCCCATATATGGAGGGCGACATGCAGATGCAGGGCCGCAAGCATTGCCAGACTGAGATAGCTTCATCCGGGGTCCCGGCACATCGGCCGGCATAACTGGAGCAACTCTGACTGGTCAGCCGGAAATTAGCGGGGGTCGATCCCCCGCTTCGGCCGATGGATCATCCGTATCCGGTAGAATAGACATTTCTGTACTTCATGAAAGCCGTCGGCGACAGCAGCAGTCCCCCTGCGAAGGGTTGTTTGGTAGAGTTCACGAGTACAGTGCAGACTGACGCAAAGAGGGAAGAGCAAATGAAATGAATAGATGACAAGTCTCAAGCTCGGTAATTGACACGTACGTAGTCCAAGCTGTTCCTCGTAGTGTTGTGCGGATGTATGTCCGGACCTATTCCTGGCAACATAGGATCGGCATCGAGTGTCGAACACACCCTGCAAGCCTCTCCTCTGCCTCAATTGGACCCTCTGACTCGCATTCAGCCAAACCAAGCAGCGTACAGCATAGACACAAAGTCTTCCCAACGTCTGACAAGTAGACAAAAGGAGCACTGCCCATGGAAAGCCACACGGCCACTCACGACGCATTAATCGAGGAGGGCGGAGGAATAAAAATCGAAGGAGGGGGCAATCACTTGATGCTGCTTCTTTTTCTTCGGCCGAGGCATTGCAGAGGCGGGCATCTGAGACCGGGAGCCATTCATTGGTTTGTCTTGCTCCGCTAACTACATGGCCGACGTCAGATACGCTGCGTCTTTCTTTCTTTCCTTTTTGTGCCTCGGCCAGGTTCTTCTTGAATCTTTCGCAGGAGGGTGGGGTAATGGTTGTTCCACAGGTTTGGGTCGACTTGAGAAGGGGTGACCCCGTTGCTCTGAGTTGCAAAAGCATGAAGTTTAGGATGTTTACGTGGAGAATTATTGTGTCGGCATTCCTGAACAGCGAAGAGGGCATTCGATGCCGGTGATTGATCACTAACGTGGACGTGATTATTTATGTGAAGTTGGAAACATACGAAGTAACGAGCGGGTTTTTGAGGAGCGTTAACGTGCTGTCTCTGAAGTGCCTTCGCAACAGGGCTAATTTCGCTCATAGGTAATGGAGCACAAAAAGAGCCAGTCAGCGAGAGAAGAGGAGTGTGAACGCTAGGGTGTTGCGGGATGAGATCATTTGTACTGAGGCTTCGGCTTCACAACACTGCGTAAGGTACAATATACAGCAAGGTTCAGAGATGGAAAAGGGTCACGCGTTCTATGGATAAAGGTCGGTATTCGTAAGAGCATTCTTTGTCAAGTTGGGTTGGCTTGTGGCGGATTAAGTACTACATTCCGCTGTCCCTGTTGATCGTTGCGCTCGACTGCCCCTGTTGTCGTCTCTGCAGGATGTAAAGTGTGTACACGAACAGTACCAATGAAATCACAGGGTTCCTGTGCGTCATCTCTAGGTCTAGGAACCCTGGCACAGGTCACCGTGATCGACCAGTCCAATTAGGACCGCTTCTCCCGGAGACCGGATATGGGCGATCTAGAGCTGGAGCGTGTGCTTGGTAAGATAGCCGGGCATGGACGGACAGGGAACTGGACGTCTAGCGTTTGGCGTTTCGGAAAAAATGCCCGGCGAGCGACGTCTCTCGGGTCTGGGTCATGGTAAAGGATAACCCTCCGGTCTCTGTCAGGGACGGCAGTGTCGTGTGTCTGGCCTACGAACAACCTCGACAACGGCGACGGCGAAGTTATAAACCCCGATGACCTGGACTTGGGGGGCCCGAAGCCTGGTCAAACATTTCCGCAATAGCAGAGGGAGCCGGAGACGGTAGGCACGATGAGACCTCGCACGGTTTTACTTGAGCTTCTGGAGAGCCTGCGGTAATGCGGCGAGTGGCCTTCATCCTGACCCGGTGCCAACTCAATTGTCGTTCGACTGGGCGTCTGAACTGAACTTTGCACACCCGTTGCGGGCTATGCAAGACAGCATGCACAATACTGTTCAAAACCAGGGGCTGGGATACCACAATGCTTCGGGCGTCCACCTCTGAGAAGTATGAACTGTGATGGGACGATCAAGGAATTTGCCGTCAAAAGTCACCACCATCGTCGCACCAAGAGAGCGCATCTGCTGAGGTGCCTCTGGAGAGGCGGGGCTGGTCTGTGGGTTGGTCGATTATCCGTACGGAGACTGCGCAGTAATTGCTAGTAGCATGCCAGGTATTCGAATCTCTTGAGTCGTGTCGCCCGAGCTTAGACTTGGACGTCTATCAAGACATCGAGCTTCTTCGAACTGTGAAGTCCCTACCGTCATCTATACGTAGCGAGACTTGCCTTTCATCTGTTCTTGGATTCGAATCCAAGGAGGGCCGACTCGTCGTTGTCTGCTGGCTGATGGCCAATCACAATTGCTTTTGTCTCTGGCCCTTGACAGTGTGACAATGTGGGTTCTGGTCGAGTAGGTAGGTAGGTACCTTCAGGGTTTGCCATGTCTCGTTTTGTCTTATCTTGCTTGCCGTGGTCTTGCCTTGCCGTGGCCTTGCCTGTTTCCTGCATGTTCATCAAAGATGGACAGAAAAGCGTGCTATCTACGATATCCGCGTGAATGGAGAGGCACGCATGTCTCAGTCCAATTGTCTCGGCCATACGCCTCTTGGAGCAGCACAGCGTCGCAGGTCAAGCGCCCCCATAAGTCGCTGGACCTCACTTCTGTCGTAGTCTTAGGTACGGATACAGTGTGTGCGGCGGTATTCTTTGCCATTAGGCCAGAGGCAGAGGCCACCCCTGCCGGTGGGACAAAGTGCGGATGCACGTTTTGTGTTTAGATAACGCCACACGCTTTAAGACGCGGAAGTACCCGTCGTTGATATCAGCAGTAGCATGCATCTAATAAATCGTTCAGCCGGGGGGCCTCAGTGAGGAAGAAGCAGTCACCTGTAGCGTACCACCGTACTTACCTACTACATACATACGAATTAGATGCGCTAGTCAGCGCCGTCGGGGGAGCCTGCCGAGAAGTGTCTGCGCCACCAACCAGAGCATTGGAGACTGACAGAAACCGAGCCCGACGCAAACGGCCACTGTGGTTTTCTCCGGCGCTTGAGTTCATGACTTGGTTCAGAGCTGTTTGCCAGGCTGCTGGGGCAGACAACGCCCGTCAGCCGCCATCGGCCCTGGTCAGGACCGGACGTCAGCTGTCAAGACTCAAGCCCAGCTGAGGGCCTACCTAGGCACCTAGGTAGGTAGACGCGTGGATTAGATACCTTGGGTCGCTTGGAGCAAAGCGTCGACAAGCAAACCAAACTTAGCTGACCTCACCACAAGGCGGCCCTTTCCCGAGTCCCCGACGTCTTTGTGCTTCGTCGTGCTGGGCATATCCTGGGCCGCAAGCTGTGCGAACCAGGTTCTGCTCCCCCTCGCTGTCGCGCCTTCTGCGACGACTACTGGTCTTCCCCCCATCCTCTTGTCCCTCTCCTCCGTTCAGCGAGTTGCACTCGCACTCGTCCTCTCTCTCTCCCGTTGTCCGTTGTTGTCAACCAACGAGTGTCGGATCTGCAGCCCATCGTCAAAGCGGCTCCCCTGTCACGTACACAATATGCTACCTACGCAGTAGCATAGTGCCCACCTCCCTTAGGAACCTACGCCGGAAGGTACCTACCTAAGGTAGTGTGCGGCGTAAAGTACTGCGTACCCTACTCTGAGGTGGTTTCCGTTCTAGCTTTACTACCTACCTTCTTCTACCCTTTAAGCCTAGCTACATCTAATTTATAGAGGTTTACGCTATATTATAAAAATTCTATTTATACTTTAATAAATACCTACTAAGTACTGTAATACTATTTATAATAATTAAAAAAACTTTAATTTAAGTTTATAAAAATATTATTTATAACTTTAATAACTTATAAATAATTTACTATATAAAATTATATAAGAAGAAGAATATAAATTTTCCTCTATTTATTAACTATCTCTAATAAGATTAATTTATTATAATTAAATTATTTAAGATACTTATTGTTAACATATAACATTCTTTTATAATAATAATAATAATATAAGAATAATAATAACGCTTAACTTACTTTAATATTCTATATAAAATAAA